ATATATACATATACACACACACACATTGAAATATTGCCTTGACAACTAAATTTAAAAAAAAGCTGACATTAAAATTACTGAATCTAAAACTGAAATAAAAATAAAGCTAAATAGAAATATTAAAACTAATAAAATAAAACTGAAATAAAAATAAAGCTAAATAGAAATATTAAAAAAAACTAATAAAAATGACAAAAAGCACATTACAAAATTACTAAAACTTTACTAAAACACAAGATTAAAAAGAAAACTGAAAATATAAAAATAAGAGCAAATTCACAAAATTCTAAATTCTATAAATATTATAAATTACAGGTTTGAAAAAAAAAAAAAATTTAGTTATATTATTAATTTTTAGATATTTATTAGTTCGGACAGTTGACAGAAGAAGAATTAGGATCGGAGAGCCTGCGAGTCAACCAGAGATTAAAAAAAATAATAATAAAAAAAACCCTAGCAAATACAAATCTTAGCAATATATGCATTGCAAACTCTAATAACTCAAACACTGACTCAATCTCTCAGAGTCAAGACAATGCGTCAACATGAAGGAGGATCGAAAAGGTCAAAATTTCCCAAACACACACGCACTCAAACATGCACAAGCCTTCAGGAAAATCTCTTTAAATACAGGAGTGAATATAAAGTCTGATGTGCGGAGTTTGTACCTTCTGCGCCGATGGACACCAGCTTGACTCCTTTGCTGGCGATGAAGTCCAGCGCTTTGTTGACGTTGTTGATCTTGTGAACTCTCATCTTGCCTCTTTCAGGTTTAGGTAACCTCTCCCCTGCACAAAAACACGAGGAGTTCTCACACGCTTTCCATCGGATCAGCACAAACACAAGCCCTCGGCTAAACATTAGCTCAGCGCCTCTGCAGCGTTTCGCACAGCTCTGGAAAGCTGCAAAAGAACCAGAGGCTTCTGGGTGAATGAAGGAAGTTTGCAGCTCACTGACCTGAGATGACCTCCAGTAGCAGCATGAGTTTGAGTCCATCTCTGAAATCCTCCTCGATGTTGTCGATCTGCGTTCCTGCCTTCCGCAGGTGAGAGTTGCACCAGGCCGTGAAAGTCTAGAACAAACAGGAAATGATGTCAAAAAAAGTGGAAGCAAGGTCAGGGACACAGGAAACGGGCTGCGTTCTGCAGTGTGCAGGAATGCTCAAGATGTTTGCTCAGGAAACAGGCGTGAAAATCAACATCTGATGCGTTTAGAACATAAATGCAAGACCACCTCTTGTAAGAAACAGTTCGACAAACACTGCAATATTGCATACTTTGCTGACGAAATATGACAACTATATGATAAGTTGCAGAGGTCAAACTCTACCAAATGCCCCCAGAGTTCAAAATCTACCAAAAAAAAAAATAATAATTA